TGGCCAGGCCTGCAGGGGAGGGCAGTTAGGGGGGATCGGGCTGGCAGGGGAGGGCAGTTAGGGGTGACCAGGCCTGCAGGGGAGGGCAGTTGGGGGCGACTGGGCCAGCAGGGGAGGGCAGTGGGGTTGATTGGGCCAGCTAAGGAGCACTTAGGTGTCAATCAGGCTGGAGGGGAGTGGTTAGGGGGTGATCAGGCTGGCAGGCAGAAGCGGTTAGGGACAATCAGGCAGGCAGGCAGGCAAGCAGTTGGGAGCCAGCAGTCCCGGATTGTGAGAGGGATGTCCGACTGCCATAGGGATCGGGCCTAAACCGGCAGTCGGACATCCCCAGAGGGGTCCCAGATTGGAGAGGGTGCAGGCTGGGCTGAGGGACACCCCCCCCAGTGCACGAATTTCATGCACCGGGCCTCTAGCCCTATATAATAAAAGCATAATATGCTAAGTGTCCAGTCTTCCAGTCATCCGTTCAACTAATCAAAGCATAATATGCTAATGATATGCTAAGGCTCCTCAACCACTCGCTATGACATGCACTGACCATCAGGGGGCAGAAACTCCAACTGGTAGGTTAGCTTGCTGCTGGGGTCCAGCCCATAGGGACTGAATGAGACAAGCTGGACACACCCTGGAGCCCTCCTATGGTCCCTCCCCGGCTGGCCAACCTCCCGCAGTCCCTCCCCAGCCCCGATCCCTTGGCCTGGCCTGCACCCTCTCACAATCCAGGACCCCTCAGGGGATGTTGGAGAGCTGGTTTCGGCCCAATCCCACAGGCCAGGCTGAGGGATCCCACTGGTGCATGAATTCGTGCACCCGGCCTCTAGTGATGTAATAGCAGTGAACACCATGAACATACGTGCTGACATGTGTGAACTCACTTACGTCTCACAATTAAGCTGTTTTTACTGCTGAGAGAGCTGAGGCAGAGAAGCAGAGCAACTTGACCAAGAGTACACAGCAAATAAGAAGCCAGACCCTCAGGATTTGAAGCCTTGAAGTCTGGTTCTGAAATGTTCGTCGTCTCTCTTGACTGAATATACTCTGTACTGCCTGTCACTGTCTGGCTTGCTCACCTGTCTGTCTCTTCTTCCTAGTGCAGGGTTTGTCTGTAACCCCAGTGACACCCCATCCCCCTCCTCGCCCCACCACACCACTGGTTCAACACCTGGGGCAGCATCAGCCAGGCTGGTCAAGTAGAAATGGAAACGTTTAATTTCTGGTAGAAACGATAAATACTTTGCACTAAAAATCTGGAATTCAAGTTTTCCTCATGCTTCATGCTCCCCCCATCCCAGAACCCCACAGACACGATTCTGCTCAGAGAGGAGGTGCCCGCCTGCCCTGTGGCCAGGGCAGTCTGGGGAAAGGCACAGGTGGCTGATGTGGGGAGGGGGTCACAGGAAAAGGCACTTTTTAGGGTCTAAACCTGCAGAGTTCAACAGGAGAATCATAGGCCATGGCATTTTGGCGTCTTGAAATCGGGCGGCTGAAGGAGGGGTGCAGTGTGCCGAGCCCCTTCTCGGTCAGACACAGGGTGGGAGTGGGGCTGCCTTCATGATTACCCCGCACACCACACCCCTCTTCACAGTCATGAGTGACGGACCACAGACTCTGGGATGAGGGGAGGGGAGGGGGGAGTAAGGCCTCCTGGGGATTGGGGGAGGCCTGGTGAGTCCCCCCCTCACTCCCCAGCTAGGAGTCCTCCTCCCAGGGGCACAGCTGCCGCTGAGGCACGAGGAAGGTGAAGCTGTAGCTCTTCTGGCAGCTGCGGATGCCGCACTTGTAGGGCGCTGGGCGGTCCCGGCTGTGGCAGTACTTGAGCATGCAGGGGTACCAGGCCAGGCTCAGGCCGTAGCGGCAGACACAGGGCGTCCCCCGGTCCCCCGCCTGCCCGCAGCGAGGCAGCACCTGCTCTGTGTCCGTGGGCAGAGCCTTGAACATGGAACTGTCCACCCCTGGGGGGAGCAGGGGAGAAAGGCAAGGTGAGGGGGAGGTCAGAGGAGGGGCGTCCCCTGGCAGAGGGCCCCTCCGTCAGGACTCTGGCCCTTCATCACCCTCAGGAGCTAAGCATCCCTGGCGCTGCCTCCCGGTGAGGAAGCCACCAGGGAGGGTGTCAGCCCCTCACACAGCAGGAAGGCGTGGGGACACCCACCCTGCTGGCTTGGGGGGAGCACAAGCAGGAAATCACGAAATGCCTCTTCAAGGGAAGGTATCTGAGGAGGACCAGGAGGGAGGGGCAGGGGAGCACCGGGCAGCTCAGGATGCCAGGGCGTGGGGCCGACGGGATGGGCACACGGGGCTGCGGGTGGCAGCAGGGCCCAGGCTCAGCGCAGTGGCCACTGGGGACCAGCCTCTGGGGACAGTGTCAGGCTGGTGCCTCCGTTTGGGTGCAGCCCACGGGAGGCGTGTGGAGGTGTGACGGCCGCCAGCCATTTCTAAACCCAGTGTGACCTGGAGGGGCAGGCATTTCGCTAGGGTGAGGCCCGCTGAGCAGAGGGACAGGGTCCTGGGACTGGAACGGTGACACTGCCCTGAGGGCGGCCCGGGAAAAGGACCAGGAGAGGACCCGGTGGTGTCACACGCAGGCTAGAAGCCACAGATCCTGAGAGGAGGGAGGAGACCCGGGGTCCGGGGGAGACGTGGCCCAGGGAGGGTGTGAGAGGAAGGAGAGGGGTGGAGTTCTGAGAGGCTGGGCAGAGAGGGGCATGTGGGCACGGGAGTCTGCCTCCCCCCCCGCCCCCCGCCCGACCACGTGCCTGCGCCCATCTGTGCTTATCATCACCAAGACCAGGGGGTGGGACTGGCTGGGAATGCCCTTCCCGAGCCTGCGAAGCCAGCATTCTGTGCAGGTCCCTTCCCTGAACCCCACACCTCACATGAATCCTATCCTCTCTGATGGGCAGGCAGCGGGCAGACCCAGCGGACCTTGCTCCAGCCAGAACCGGACGTCCTCCTGGCGGGTGTAGATGGCGTCCGTGGCCTCCGCACACACGTTGTGCAGGTGGGGACTCAGCAGGGCCCCCTGGCTGAAGTTCACGGCCATGTCCATGTGCAGCTGCTCCAGGCCCCGCGCCTCCTCCGCCTGACGCACTGCCCGTGGGTTCTTCTGTGGGAGGAGAAGGGCCACTCCCACCAGGTCTCTGGATGTGCTGGTGGTCTTAGTGCCTGGGCCAATCTGAGGGGGCATTCAGGAATACCCAGCCCCCCTCCAGCGGCAGGGACGCTGATCACCTGCCCACGTCCCCAATCACCTGTCCCCATCACCTACCCACGTCCCCCATCACCTGTCCCCCATCACCTGCCCACGTCCCCCATCACCTGCCCACGTCCCCCATCACCTGCCCACGTACCCAATCACCTGCCCACGTCCCCCATCACCAAGCCAGACAGGCCCAGGCTGGTGGTCTTAGCACCTGGGCCAATCTGAGGGGGCATTCAGGAATACCCAGCCCCCCTCCAGC